TTGTGGCAATGACTTTATTAGGAATCTATCTGAATGTCAATGAGTTTTCATTAAACTGAGCTTTAAATTTCCTGTGGGCTTACAGCAAGACAGTGAATCTGTTTAGAATCTAAGTCAAGCTGGTTTGAAATAAAATATTATTTAAAAAACTTTCTCATTTGAACATCTTTTGTTAAATTTATCTATTACTGGTATGGTATCATTGACATACATGGAACTGTGAAGATAAATGAAGTGTATACTAATAAATTAAAATGTGCCAGAGAACAGGTCCAGACACTGGGATTTGATTGTCCATGCTGGTAAATTGCTAGGATAGGATCTAACATGATTTCAGCTAAGCTAATTAACACTCTCTCAAATGGTTTCTAGATATGACTTGTTTATATGAATCGTTTATAAGTGCAGTTATAGCCAAATTCATGTGTGGACAGAGCTTTGCTTTCAATATATTAAAATATATTTGAATCTTTAGCAAAGGACAATTGTGGGATTATGCTAGAAACTATGGAGTGATAGGCTGCAAAGACTAAATAATGCAAAGAAATATTGAGGACCTGTTTAGCAACTCTTGATTATTTTCCCATGTATTACACTCTTTGCTGGATGCAGAGGACCTGTGAAGAATTATTTCTATAAAAATACAGAGAATCTAAGGAGAGCAGGCCAGGCATTGCAGCTATCTAAAGCAGAATTTGCCTGAAGCTAAAGTTGAATGTCAGGACCTCCAGGATGTGTGTTTTTAGTGCATAGTAGTTCTGTTCAGCCAGGAACAAAATATATTGCAGATATCTCTCAGACTTAATTTGAAAAATAGTAGAGTTTTTGCAGTTGACAATGGAGCAGCGTTCGGCAGTTTTGACAGGAAGTCCCCTGTTGTTTGCTTGTGAAGTTACATTCATGAAAATGCTGACAGCTTACATATCAATAAAACAGAAATAAAAATGTATTTCTTACCAGTTGGCTTTGTGTTGAAACCCTGAGGATGAGGAAGATCAAGAAGATGACATAAAAACATCATATCCTCCCAATTCTACTTTTCTGAGTGCCTGGATGCTGTTGCAGTCTGCTGGAGGACTAAGCCCGCATATATTGAGAGAATGAGGATGAAATATATTGTTTTCACCACTAGAAAATGCAAGTGGACTTCTCATAGTCATTTTAGTGTTCACTGATAATTTTTCTATGTCTCTGGAACAGGTTTTATCTTACCTGTTGTAAGCCCTTGTCTCTGGAATGACAACAAGCTTGAAAAAATTTTTTTTCTTTCTCTTGGCAGGATACAGAGACTTTTTTTTTTTTTCTTGTTTTTTTCTATTTTTTTTCCTATTTTTTTTTTTTTTTTCTAATTCCATGGTGCTAAAATATTTCTGATTTTCTGGAACTACTCAATGTGATTTGTAGGTGAGAATTTAATCTTATGTTTTCACAAGAAAAAAATTTCAGTAAAATGCCCCAAACTACAGTGTTCTTTGGATAGTGTACTTGTTGGGAGGCTCTTTATCTATATGTTGTTCAATTCTTCAATTCTTCCTAAGGTTGAATGTATGTTTTGTGAAAGTCCATGGATATTTTTTATTTTTTACTACCTAGTGCATCTAGGCAGAGGGCAGAAAACACTGGAAAAATTGTAAAACAAAGCATGAATGAAAAGAAAATAATGGAATCATAGAATAGAATCAAAGAATTGTCGATGTTGAAAACGACCTACAATCCGCCCTACAACCCCTAAAGACTATCCAGCTAAGATCTTTGAAACAAAAGTATGAAGGCATTGGAAGACAACTTGAGAACTTTGAAAATATTACTTTCCTTCAAGCCCATCTCACCTCTAAAAGTTTAATTTTAATATATTGAAAGCCTCACCACTTGAAATGGTAATTACTTCATACATCATATATGTCATTCAACCTTTAAATGAAAACAGCTATCAGGACTAGGGCAGGGTTAGTTTATTTGATCTTCCTTGAAGTTTCTTAATTTTTCTGACCATTCATCTCAGATGGCTGTAGATCATGCTAGTAATACCAGCTATAGGTAATGAGGTTGAAACCTTCTATGGTGTTAGTCATATTACTCCCACTCTGGAACCTCCCACCAATTTCCTTCCAAAAGCCCATCTCTTGGCTTGTGTAGCCCAAGCCATTCAATCTTCCTGACTTTGAACAATTTACTTCATGGTATCCCTTGCTCCAATTGCAGATAACCCTGATTTTTCCTGATTTTCCCTTCTTATTGACTGTTGATAAATGTTTGATGCCAGCTGGGATTAGTACTGTGCTATGCCTCCCTGCTAATGAAAAATACTGCTTTCAGAGAATTCACAAGGCAATGCCATGTTCTTAGTTTGGCCTGTTTTATTCCTCACCAGATTCTTTCCTAGAGGAAGCAAACTAATGCATGCAGTGAGAAATCTCTTAACTTTCTTTCTGGAAAGTATTTTGTGAAGAGAAACTTGTATTTTGTGCTCAGGTGATTTTATTTCTTTCCACCATTGTTGGCAAGGAGTCTTGACAGATCTTGTGGATCTGTGTATTATATTTTATTTGGAGGTTGAAGAACTCATTTCCAGGCCAAACATACAACCTTGATTATACAATAGTGATAAGCCTGTATTATCACAAGGAGCAGAATTTTCTTTTTACTTGGGAAAGAACATTGGGATGAAAGAGAAGTACATTGGATTGTGAAGAATATATTATTTAGTTTGGAAACTGAGCAGTTCTAGCCCCTGGGAGCCATCTTGCCATGGAAGGAGTAAAGCAAGGCTACTACTGTTTTATTGCATAGAAATCATCTCTGTGAATACCAGTGATGCCATAATATTGTACATCCCTGTATGCTTTGTGTTCCTTGATATTGAAAGTCTCAGTCTTGATTTGGCTTTTATGCAAATGTTTTGTATAGTTGTTTGGTCTGATGTCCTCTTGGATGCCAGGTTATATAATTTAGCCTTAAGCTGCAGCTTGTGATAGCTCTGTCTTATCTGTCTGCTTCCACACACCAGATATCTCAGAGCTCAGCTCTCTATAAAGAAAATGATCTTTCAATTGAGAGTGGGTAGCCAAAGTGCCTAGAAAAGGGCCATTTAACTAAAGTAAACTTCAAATATACCAGCTTTTCGGGTTTCATGGAAACAGATACAATTTTGCTATTTTTGTGTCATGCATCAAGTTTTCTAAGAAAAAATGGAAGAAATTTGGCCATAGCTTAGAGGAAGTGCCCTGTGTGAAAACGATCTGTTGTGAAGACCAGAGACCTTGTCGTAGTTGGAAGGGGCTGGGGCTGCTGACTGCAGGTTACTGAGAACAACTGAATGATGCATTTTGGTTTTGCATTTTGTGCCCCTCTCACATTCTTGATTGACTGTTGGTTAATGGAAGAGTCATAACGTTTGATCTGTCACAGTGGTTTCCAATGGCAGCAGTAACTTAACTGCTGACTGTTAAAACAGTCCAGAGTGTAACTGTTGTAAAGGATAAGCCCTGTATGGTCTGTTGTGTTGTGGTGTTAGAGTATGTTGGATAAATATTAATCAAAAGGAGCATCATAAGAAGTGTGGTCTGCAGCAAAATACGAATGCTCAGCAGGTCAAGGGAGAGGATTGTCCCACCCTACTTTGCTCTTGTGACACCACCCCCTGGGTCCAGCTCTGGAGCCCCCAATACAGGAAGGACATGGAGCTTTTGGAGCTAGTCCAGAGGATGTCATGAAGATGATCAGAGGGCTACAGCCTGTGAAAGCAGGCTTAAAAAATTAGCATTGTTCAGAAGAGAGGGCTCCAGGGAGACCTTAGAACACCTTCCTCTATCGGAAGGGGCTACAGGAAAGCTGGAGAGGGACTTTTTACAAGGTCAGGGAGAGATAGGACATTGGGGAATGGTTTTAAACTGGAAGAGGGGTAGCTTTAGATTAGACATTATTAAGAAATTCTTTCCTGTGAGGTGTCCCTGCCAATAGCAGGGGCTTGGAACTATATGGTCTGTAAGGTCCATGCCAACTCAAACCATTCTATGATATGATTCTATGATTCATTTTAGTGAACATGGCTGGTTGCATTGGGTGTAAATGTTCAGATTTTGATATCAGGCAGGTTTCAGGGCAGCCTCTGTGAGGACATGACACGGCTGCCCCTTGCTGGACACAGCTGGTTCCAGCCAGTTCCAAAAGCCTCACCACAGGGCACAGCTGAGCCTGTCAGCAGCACTGGGGCAGCCTCTGGCAAAGTATGTGTGAACAAAGGGCAAAACATGGCATGGCAGCAAGGAGTGAGGAAAAAAGTGTGGGGAACAGCCCTGTGAGCTCCAAGGTGAGAGTCAGGAATGGAGTGAAGCTGAGCAGGGGAAAAGGGGAGGTGGAGAGAAGGTGTTGGTTTAATTTGTCTTTGTTTCTCACTATCCAAACACATTTTAATTGGCAATAAGTTGCATTAATTCTCCCCAAGTCAAGTCTGGTCTGCTTGTGATGGTAATTAGTAAGTGATCTCCCTGTTTTTTTTCTCCACCCAGGAGTTTTTCCAGCTAATTTTCTCATGAGCGTCCTGTCAATGAGGGGGAGTGAGAGGATGGTGGGGTGGGCATCTGGCAGCCAGCCGAGGTCAACCCACCACAATAGTGCAGAAAATACACATAGTTCTTGCTTGGTCATATAAAAAAGCTTATGTTTGAGCACCAACACAATCCTAGCAGTGATAAAGAATTATAATTTCCCTGCTTTTTCTGTTTGTGTGAGGAGGTTGCTTTCAAGAGTGCTCTACCTTTGTCAGAGATTATTACTGCATATTTCTCTCTATGTGTGTGTCACGTTAGTATCAGCTGATTTATCTTATCCACTAAACTGAAATACAGCTCCAGCTTATACCCTGGGACTTGTGGACAGTATTTTTGAAAAATATACTCAGAGATTGTGAACTTTCAGATAGTACATGTACAGCTTGGCTTTCATAAATCAAACTTCAGGTTTCAATAGAACTGTAAGAGAAAAACGGATTTATGCAAAGCATGTATTTTATTACACTTTCACTTTTTTTTTTTTTTTCTCTTCCAGATAAACATCATGTCAATGGTAACAGAATGGTAGAACCATTCCCAGAGGGAACACAGATGGCTGTATTTGGTAAGACATCAGTTCGAAAATAAAAGCTCTAAGCTGTACAATGTTACTGTGTAACAAATGTCTTAGTATCAGCCTTAGTCCTTAGAGTTTTAGAATCTGGGCTGCTATTGCCATTTTCTAATCACTACAAACAGCTAAAGCCACTGATCATTTTAGGAGATGTCTGTGCCACAAAAGAAGAATATTAAAATAATTTTTCTGAGTTATACAAACTGAAAATGTAAACTCTTATGTTATTCCATAAAAATTCCCAAACAGTAGCTTTTTATGTATCATAATTCCTGTAAGATAATTCATTACTTTAAATAAAATTCTGAGGATGATCTGTGGTTCTCCAGACCATGCAAGGAATTCAAACTGTTGGGATCTACTGTACTTGCTGATTTGTTACCATTTACAAGCCCCAAACCAAACCTGCTGGTTTTAACTTCCTGTTGTGAATACTGATACCAGTTTCCTGTTGGGTGCCAACAGAGCTGGAAGGTGCCTTGTTGTAAAAGAGAAGATGTTTAATTTAATTTTATCTATGCTGTTTGCTATGAATATGACATTCTTCTAGGCCTTTTGTAAAACTTGGAAAAAAATGTTTCTCTGGATAAATTAATCCCCTCTGGAAGAAATAAAAATCCTAAAATACATGAGAATCACCAGTTTTTTATCAAGATGGACTTAACCCAAATCTGGGAGTTGTCAGAGCTGTCATTTCAGGATGTGCTAATGTTAGTCCTTAAAAGCAGACCTGTGGAATTTACTAGGGAAGAAAAAAGTGAATTTTGATGACAAATATTCTTAAAACTTGTTGTTACAGAGAATGAATAAGTTTCTAACCTTGTTTTGAAGCATAAGATCGCAGTGTTTAGAAAGGTTATAATTATTAACTTCTACAAGATGGTACAAAAGTGCTGTAGGAGATTTATTATATCCTTTAAATGTTTCTCTATTTCAGATGTTGAAGTTAATATTAAATTAATAATTTATACACCTGCTATATCATCTAACCTATTGGAGTTCTAAATCATGATAAGGGCAGGTCAGGTGTATAAAACTGTCATCACTATTTTTGACCGAGGCTCATTTTAGTCACATGCAGATACATTTTCGCAATTGAAAGGCCAAGTGAAACAACAAATATGTAAAAATGGAGGCTGTATCCTGGAAAGCAGTGATTCTGAGAAGCAATGTTCTGTAAATGACCAGTATGATGCAACATAAAGAATAAATACAGCCTTCAGATATGCAATCAGGTGTATAGTGAGTAGGTATTAGCAGGCAGTTTTGCACCTGCACACAGTCTTTCTGAGGCAGATGCTAAAACACCTTTCCCATTCTATTGAGCAATTAGACAGAATTTATTAACAACAGCAACCGAAATGTGAAACACCAAAACCAACTATCAAAGCAGCCAAGAAGATCTCCCTATCATTGTGTCTTAGGATATGGCCTGGGATAGGTAGTGGGGGAGCCTAACCAGAAGTTTCAGATGTCGCTCACCAGACCGCCCATTGCCAAACTAGAGGGATGGAGGTCTCCTGTGGTCCTGCGGTGTGGATATCTCAGTAGTACCTGTGCACCTAAAAGGAGCAAGACACTTGAGTCAGGCACACCAGTCACCTCACATTATGGTCACCTGATGGTTATGCATCAACAGAAGGCACATTATTGATTATTACAAAAAAAAAATGGTAGGTTTAACTTCCCTGTGGAGCGAACGTGTCTGTAGTCACCATCGTGGAAGAGGAGAAATCATTCATGGGTGTCATCCTTCAGTTATCATCATGATTTCTTCAAGTTCTCTTTAGAGTTCCTCTAATTCAATATTGTCTTCCTGCCAGTATCCCTTTGTCTGTCAATTTTGGGAGCATAAAAAAATTCTTGGAGGGGTGGAATGAGAGATCGTATGATAATTTTTTTTGAGCTAGTGGAAGATGATTCTATGTTACCTTTTGAGTTTTGAGGTTAATATAGATGTAGAGATTCTTTATTGAATTTGTTATAGCAGGCAAGGTCAGAGTTCCCACACAGTCTGATATCCTACCTACAGGATTTCATTGGAAGATCTCAAAATCTTCTTAAATAGTTTACTTTGAATGATTCCCCAGAACTCTGATACATTTGTATGAAGCCTGGTAACTTTCATAATTTTTAAATTGCCCTAGATTTTTCCACAAGATTGTGATTGCAAATGTTGGGCTAGGTGGTGAAAACTCATGCTGCTGCCATCTGTGCTGTGAATAAATGGAAAACCTACATGTTCATGGGTTTGCTATTAGACCTGAAATATAATCGTATACAAACATGACTCTGATGATAATTCTTGTCATTTGTTGGCATAGGCATCCCATTCTGTAATGTGGTATAAAAAAGTGGAGCTACAGATCATTTTTGCTCTCTCCAAGGGGGAGACCATTTGCTGGGCCCACGTGAATGGAAGTGAAAGGGAACACTCAAAGAAGAAAATTATTATCTGTTAGTAATTTTCCCCCTCAGATTGATACTTGTTCTATCCATGTATAGTCTTGTTACCAAAAAGTTCTTTTTATTTTAGGACTCTGTAAGCTGGGAGGGAGAAACAGAGCTGATGTGAGGTAGCAAATGTTCTGAATCCACCTTAGACAAGAATGGCTTCTAACACCTCTTCTTAGGAAATATTTTAATCCTTTAATTGGGATTGCACAGTGACAAGTCTCAAACAGCAGTAGTTAATAAAATGTAATCACTTTTCCTTAAAAAGATCTACGAAAGCTAAAATATGGTAAATAATCTTACGATTTTTTAGATGTAGCCTACTTGCAGTGAATTTTCCTACTGCTTGGATAGCTTTACATTGAGCACTAAAAATATCAGTATTAAATGTAATGTTGGATTGTGAACACTAATCCTTTTACCTGCTCACAAGGTGCAGTTAGATTGCAGTACATAGCTCCATCTTCTGCAAAACCTCCCTCAAGATGCTCTTACTAAGGCTGCATTATTCACTTTATGATATGATTTCTTGTTTTGACCAAGGTACAGAATGAATCTACCCAGGTCACTGTACCTGCAGCTTTCCCATTTATAACAGAACTTTACAGTTTTCAAAAGTATGTATTTAAATAATCTACACAGTGTTCAAATGATGTTGTGATTCCCCAGTTGTCTCTTTAGCATCATTCAGCTGCCTAAGGTATGCCTATTATTCTTCATGAGAATAAAAAATGTGTCCTTGGTGAAAAAGCTAGATCTCAAGGCTGAGCATGACTCTTTAATGGGAATGCTAACCATCCAGTTACCTCTTAATTGAGTTTCCAGCTAATATTTAAGTGCTTAAGAGCTCAGAATGTGCTCATGGCCTCACTGGAGAGACTGTAAAATCATATATCTGAAATAATTTTGTCCCTTGAAGAGGGGATGCATTCCCAAGTTCAGTGGTTGAAACAGATTAAACTCTAGATGTTATATTTTTGTGGTGTGAATGGTGTGCTGGTTTTGGCTGGGATAGAGTTAATTTTCTTCACAGTAGCAAGTATAGGTGTATGTTTTGAATTCATTCAATAAATGCCTGTCTGGAAAGTTTTCTTGTAGTTTTTATGGCCACAGATATTTTCAGTTAAAAGTATTTTGCCTATAGTGACTGACTGTGACCAAAAACCTAAACAAAAGGGAAAACTTGGGCATATATTAGGGGGTTGGAAAGAAGCCATTTAGGGTCTAAAACAACTTCTGGATAAAGGTACAAAAACTTAAGAGAAATGCTTCAAAGCTGCAGAGCATTTGCATCTTTCAATAAATTAACATTTCCATCAGCACCATTATAATTCTTTGCATATTTTAAACACTTCTAAAAGATCTTTAAGGTTCCCTTCCACCCAAACCATTCTATGATTCTGTGATTCTGTGGTTATTCTCAGAAATATTTCTGGTCAGCATTTTAAAATTATATGCACTTAAAAGGCTCCAATTTATCACAGAGCACTTATATAAAGCACTGTGCTTTATATGCTACCTTATTTCTTGAAGAGGAAGTATTGTGCATATGGTTCATTCATAGAAAGGCTCTTATTTACCTTTAGTAAAATTTGGCAGCAGTTCAGATTTGTAATTATAACACTTGTATATGTGACTAAATTGTCTTATATTTGCTTGACATATACTGGTTAGTAATGGGATAATTGATTTCTTGATGTAAACAAAATAAAGACAGAAGTAAGATGTTAAGTAATGATAGGATCTAATTACAGACATTTCGGAGCTGACAGACAGATCCAAGCTTGTTCACCTTCTGCTCTGCACTTATTAGACAGCACCATCTTCCAGTAATTCTACAGAGCTTTATTATTGTCATACTTGCTGGAGTTATTACATCCTGTTGAGATTCAGATGTACCCCATGCATTCCCACAATTCCCCCTGCTTCCATAGGTTATTTAAAAACTAAAATAGGATTATACCAAGACTGTCCAATTAGCCTTGGGCAGAGCCAGGGGTTTCTCAGCCTTTGCCTGTGGCATGTTCAGATGCCTCTGCAGGGCAGCATCACATTACCTGTGCATGTGGGTCATGCCACTGCAGAGCTGAGCTTCTCAGACCAGCCCTGCTCTTTGGTGTTTCAACCCTTTCTAATGAAGGATAGATCAGGCAGCTTTCTAACTACAGGAAAATAACTCGAAAGTGGGATGATGTGTTGATGTTGATCACTCTATCTAGAGTTTCTTTTACTCATTCCTGAAACAGCTACTGGTGGCCATGTCACATAAGAAAATGTGTCATGGAGCCATTTGGTCTGACTCAGTTACGTTTTCATGATGAGCTCTGTTCTTTTCGCTTGGAGAAGAAAATCACAGGAAACAAATTTGGACCCCAAGAGAAATACTTTTTTTTTTTTTTTTAGACAGTAAAGAAAAGAGTAAACAGCTTTTCTCTGTTGCTCAACAAAGAAGAAGAAAACTTTAAACTATGGTTTATGTCAGAAGATATCATATCTCTGAAGAGAATATAAGACTTCATGATACTGAAACAGGTGTG